TATCTATTTAACGATTATACAAGGTATTCTAGAAGGCTAGCTACCTAGTTGAAATTACGGTAATTAAGTAACTATCGAAAGTCTACTATCGATGCTAAATATATATACTAGCGCTATTACGGTTTAAATTTACGTTACGAGACGATTACGAATTTAACTATAAGGTTATCGCTAACGTAATATACCTTAAAGGTAATAGACCGGTCCTCTACGTCGTCGATACCGCTATAGCGTTTAACGCTACCTAGTTCCTTAAGGATATTTCTACGAAAGCTACTTAGGAAGCCTTACGCCTTTGCTAGATAGATATATATTAAGGACCCCTAGACTAGCTAGTTACCGACGCTAGAACAAACTTCCGCTTAATAGAATTCCGAAACGCGGCGAGAGGAATAGTAATTAAAATTAAGGAAATTCCTATAAAAGCCTATAATAGTATTAGGAAAGTTAAACGATACTATATACCTCTAAGGAAAGCATACGAAATTATTAAAGTAGAAGACCTAATAATTACGCTAGAATTAGTACTTTAAATAGTAGTTAAAGTAGTTAACGATACTACTAGCCTAAACGGAATAGTATTAATACTCTTAGTATTCGGCTCGTACTTACGAATTACTAACGATTCGCTACTATCTCCCGAAGTTATAAGGCGGGCGAAAGCGATTAAGAAGGCGATAAGCAAAGTATATAAACTTTACGCAAGGCGATAGGTAGTAGAAGCTATCGCTACCTATAATAGCCTTGATATAAGGCTAATTGTTAATTTACTACTACGGTCGTAAGTATAAGTATAGCGCGAAAAGAAAGGCTAGACCAGACTATTTACTTTAGTAGTTATAAATAGCGAAACCTATACTATCAATATGCTACGTAGTCTGAAGACCTTCCGGTCTACTATAGTTAAACTATACTACGAAGATCCTGATTAACTACCTAATTCTATCGCTATGCTAGAAGAAGAAGAACCCGAAGCTAAGATACCGTAGTAGGAAGTAGTATGCGACGAAATTATCGTCGCTAGCAGAGGTAGTAAACCAGACGAACCGCAAGAGGCACCGGAGCTACCGAGAAGACGCCTGGGCAGACCCTAGAAGAGACTACTACTAATCGCCTACTTTATAAAGGAATTTAATAATAACCTAGATTATTAATAAATATTCCTATTAATTAAGGAGTAAGTAGACGAAGAATTAGTAATTAAACTACGACGAGAAGGTATTATTACTATACTAAGCAAACCGTTCGAATAGTTAACTAAATAAGAGATTAATAGCCTTATCGCTAGAAGAGTATTTAAATTTACCTAGTTTAATAAGAGAAGGCATTAGAACGTACGAATCTTCCGATCTCGTATCGTTAACGAAGTCAAAAGTAAAACAACCAAACCCTACGAGAAATCAAGACTTATAATATAAGGTTATGCCGACGATAGTAAGAAGGCTATATTAACCTAATCGCTAACGATTTAGCAGGCAAGTCAACGGCTAATTCTATTAATTACCCCGTTACTCCTACGAGAAGGGAAATAACTATGGCTTCGAGATATTATATAAGCCTACGTTTAATCCTCCACAAGGCTTAATCGTACTATTCTCGCCTACCTACCGAAGCAAATTCAAGACCAGTACCTAAAAGGGACTATTATAGAGGTTGTGAAGCCTCTGTACGGAATCGCAGAAGCTAGAACCTACTAGTAGGCAACGTATCATAAGCATCATAGAGAGAATCTCTAGATAGTTACTTCTTCGTACGATCTATGCCTATTGATCTTATCTACTGAAAATCTATACTTTGGCTATATCGGCATGCAAACCGACGATACCCTCGGTTTATTAGACAAGGCGTTCTTATAATTAGAAGACGAATAGTTAGAAAAAGCGGCTTTTACGGCAAAAGCGAAGAATATCCTTATAATTGACAAACCCCTCTAATTCAACGGAGGGATAATCGCGCTGTTAACCGATAATTCGATTAATTTAAGGCAAAAGGGACAAGCTAAGAAGTTATAATATATTAAGACTACTAAACCTAACCTAAAACAGCAATATGTCGAACAACGCGCTAGAAAGGCGTACATCGCGTCAATTTACTAACCCGAGGCTTATTTCGATTTATCTACTACTACCTAACACTAAGACCCCTCGCTAGAAGCGATAAAAGTACTAAATCAACGGATTCGATAGTAAATAGAATCGCCTAACCGAGGAATAACGTTTATCCTACTCGACCTTATAATAGCTAAGCTATTCGTTTTCGTTAACAGGTCGTTCGCTAATAACTACGACCTCTCCTCCTAATTAGGGTTTCTAATTATCCTAGCTAACGATACTTCTTCTAATAGTAATAACGGAGAATTTACGATTTACGGTAACCTTGTTTATTATAGCTTTACGAAGAGTAAACAATTTACCTATAGCGTATTAGCGTTAGAGATCTACGGGATAGTCGCTAGCGTCGATATAGCCTACGCCCTTGCTATAACCCTAGCGATAATTACTAACTACCTTAACCTACTAACGATTTAGATAGTTATCTATACCGATTCTTATTCGCTATATAAGTGTCTCGTAAAGCTAGGTACTACTAAAGAAAAGCGACTTATAATCGATATCATAGCGTTAAGACAATCGTACGAAAGACGAGAACTATAAGAAATTCGTTAGATTAACGGCGAAGACAACCCTGCTAATGCCCTTACGAAGAGCAAACCAAATCGAGCCTTCGAGAGATTCGTTGATAGCAACACGATAACGATACGTATAGAGGGATAGGTAACAAGACCGTAACTACGGGAGAAAGTAGGGATAGGAGGCCGAATTGACGAGGAGACGGAACTATATAGGGATAACGTATTCCAACCGCTTCAACTGTCGAATTGAGGGTTCAGAACGATGTATATTCCGTTATGTGTGTAACTGTCTAAGGGCCCTTCAGGGGCGCGTAGGGAAGGGGGTATGCCACCCCCTGACCCGGGGCTCGGCGCTCGGAAATAGTGTTCTGCCGAGCGTTGCCGAAGCCTCGCGTAGCGCGCTCAATCTGACACACCCCCTCAGGGGAGCGCCGAATCGGGGCTTCCCTGCCCTCGAGTCGCCCTCTCCCCCTCGTATTTAGATTACACTGCGTTCAGAGCTCTTCTTTCGCTCATCCCTCGGCTGGTAGGCTTTCTACTGCGCTGTCTCCTCTCCTTCTGCTAAGAGGACGTTTTATACGTACAACTCGCGTACCACAGCAAGTCACGAGCTTCCCGTGGCACTCGGAGCGCGCTTCTCGTGGTCTTCGACCGCCCAGACGTCTTCCTGCGCGGCTCTCTTGGCCCACGCTTCTTCGTCTTCTTCTAATTCGCGTCTCCGATTCCGCTTCAGGAGCTCTGCCTGTTCGCTCATACGGACCTGCTTCCGGAACTCGCGGAACTGTGGGAGCGCGAGACTCTTCGTCAGACCGTCTGCCATAAGCTCTGACGACGGTGTGTATGCCACGGATACGCGCTTCGCTGCGACCTCTTGTCGTAGCCAGTGGTTGTGAATATCCACGTGCCGTAAGCGCGTCTGAAGGGTCACTAGATCCGTTGTCACCAGTCGAACGGTCTGTAAGTTGTCGCATTGGATCTGAATCGTGGGTACGCTGCGCTTTTCTGCGGGAAACGTCGCTTCCGGCGCTTCTTCTGTTGGAAGGTGTACGTTTAGCGCGGAGATCAGGCGGCTTGCAAATAGCGCTTCCTTTGCTGCTTGCGAGAGGGATAGCAGCTCAGCTTCCGTCGTAGATGTGGTGACCGTGGCCTGTTTGTTAGCGCGCCACGCAACGAGCCCGCCGAATAGCTTCATAGCGAGCGCCTGAGAGCTCTTCCGATCCAGGGAGTTGTCTGCGAAGCTGGCATCTGACGCCACGATGAGCGTGTCTTCCTCGCTGCCGGGTTCGCAGCCGTATTCGAGGCAGAGGTAGCGGGTGGAATAGAGGTAGGCGAGCGCTCTGTCCGCTGCGCGTTGGTGTTTCGGCCCGGGATTCTGGTTGAAGCGCGCGAGACGGCTTGCCGCGAACGCGACGTCGGGTCTCGTCATTATTGCGGCGTATAGGAGAGTCCCGACCTTCTTCTGGTACTGGTTGACTTCCCACGCGCTGGCCTCTCCTTCGTAGGGTAGAAGCTCCTCCAGGACCATAGGAGTGTACGAGCGCGCTTCAGAACCGTCTTCTAACGCGTTAGCTGTGGGTGGAAGCAGCCGCCTCACCTTCTCGGCGTAAACTGCCTGCGAGAGCCATAATCGGCGTGTGGCTCGGTCTCGTATGACCTCGATTCCTAAAAACCACTGGAGGTCTCCGCCTCCTTCGAAGTAGTAGCGCTTCTGTAGCTTAGAGACCTCCCGCAGCGCTGCCTCCTTGCGCGCGCGGGGAAACGCCAGTACGCAGTCGTCTACGTAGAAGAAGAATATGACTTCGCCTTTTTGCCAGCAGTAATTCTCGCCTGCCACGCGTTCGAATCCACGTTCTACGAGTCCCTTTTCTAAGTGGCGTTGCCACAGGAGAGGGGAACGTCGTAGGCCGTATAGCGCCTTTCTCAATCGCAGGATTCTTCCTGGAACGCGGTAGCCCGGCGGAAGCTCCATATAGACGGTCTCGTCTAGATCCGCGTGGACGAAGGCGTTTACTGCATCGTATTGTAGTAATTCTAGGTCAAAGCGCGCGGCAACGGCTATCAGAACTCGGAACGACATACCTGCGAGCGTCGCGGCGTACGTCTCCCGCGCGTCTCTTGCTTGCTGGTCTCCTCGAATAACCAGGCGTGCCTTGAATTTGGCTAATCGCCCGTGCTTATCAAGCTTGTAAGTGTATACCCAGTGGCATCCGAGGACCTGGTAGCCGCGCGAGGCGCTTCTTGCGACCTCTTCCCACGAGCGGGACTCCTTGTGCCCGTCTAGGTGGCTTCTTTCAGCGCGCAGGAACTCCTCCCGGAAAGGGTGACGTTGCAACTGATCGTGAGACGTTGGCAAAGGGGCTAGATCCCTCTAGTAGGCGCCTTTCTTTCGGCCTTGCGCTTCCACGCGGGAGCGGAGCTCGGTCGGCGCCAACGCAGTCACCACATCCCGGTTACCGCGCGCTCTGAGATCCTTCGTCTCTTCTACGAGCGTCTGGCTCCGGTCTCTGTGGGAGCTGGGCTCACTTGTCTCAAACGCTTCTACCACGGAGCAACCTTCCTGGGATTCACTTGCCTCTTGCTGACCTGTAACTTGGTCTTCCAAAGGGCCTTCATCCGCGCCGTCATTCCCGGATTTCACGGTGAAGGTTGCCTCGGAAACCCTCTCAGGGGCGCGCGGCTGGCCAGGCACAACGCGATCCCTTCGTGGGCTGTCTTGACGTCTAGGGTTTTGTTTGTGAAGCGTCGTTCTAGCTAGAAAAGCGGCTTTGTACGACGTCCGTGGTGTGACCTTCTTATAGATGGGCTTCGTAGCGGGGATATCCCGCGTATGCTCTTCTCCCTACCCCCTCACGTCGAGCTCGGTGAGCACCGCGAGAAAGGATGTGGGAGGCGACGCCTCCGGCGTCGGAAAGGGCTCAAACCGCGCTCCCGTGTATTGCCCTTCCACTTGCTTAGGCGCGTCCGCTTCAGCGTTATGGTGCCCGAGCGCTTCTGCTGCTTCCAGGGCAGGCTCACCGGGATCGGCGTGCTCTGAGACTTCTTCTGCTTCTTCGTCAGCGCTTTGTATATAGTTTTCTGAGCCCGTGGTCTGTCTGATCAGCTCCTCTATGCGCTGCTGAATCGCCTGCAGGTCGAGGTGGTTGATTTCTTCTACTAGGGACCTGACGTTGCCGTCGAAGTGGCATTTCTCGTTAAACACCACATCGCGCGTGGTAAATACTTCACTACGCAGGGGATTCCATATCCGGAACGAGTTGCTTGATGTGTAGCCGACTAGGTAGCCTATCCAGGCACGCGGAGCGAGTTTCTGGCGCCTGTTGCGCTTCAGCTGCGCATCAGTAGTCATTGCGTACGCTTTGCACCCATATGAGCGCAGATGAGAGAGGTCTGGGCGCGCGTAGAAGCCGCTTTCCTCGTGCCAGAACTGTCTGTGGAAGCGCTCGTACGGCGACTTCCACCCCCTGACTGCTGACGGCGTTCGGTTGTAGACGTAGGTGGCTGCTTTCGTGACTTCCGGCCAAAGCACGTCCGGTAGCGCTGCGCTTCTAGCCATTGCCCTCGCGCGCTCTTTGATAGCTGCCGCCCCGCGTTCAGCGCCTCCATTCTGTGACTGTGTATTAGGAGCCGATGGCTCTATTGTTATCCCGCGTGCTGCTAGCATTTGGGTCACGCGTAAGTGCTTTTCGAGCTCCCCATCGGTCTCCAGGAACTTCACTGATATGTCGTAATGGGTCTTCAGGAGCTCCAGGAAGTCCGTCAGGGTCGTTAGCAGAACGTCAGTAGTGCGTCCCGTAAGGTAAAAGTCCCACGCTAGACCGCTTGCGCGGTCCACGATGATCATGGTTGACGTGTACCCTTCGTAACCTTCTTCGTAGTCGTGGAAGTCCAGTGCGAGCCTCTCACCAGGCTTTGCGCGCTTCAGGGATTCTCGGGGCGCTCGGCGAACCATCCGCCGCTCGAGACGCGTTTGTCCCGTGTTTAAGGCGCCTGGGCGCTGGGGATCGATATATCGCCAGAGGTCGTAGGACTTGGCCTTCGACTGCAGCTGGTCGATCCATAGGATCCAGTCGGCAGGGGTATTCAGGGTGATTTTCGCGCTTGAGGAGGACATTTCGACGATAGGGGTTCAATTGGGCGCGTAGAAAGGGCTTTCGTATGCGTAGAATAGATGGCTGGCGGCGTTTAACGTAAACGCAGCACGTATCAGACTGTTAATTGTCGAATTGAGGGTTCAGAACGATGTATATTCCGTTATGTGTGTAACTGTCTAAGGGCCCTTCAGGGGCGCGTAGGGAAGGGGGTATGCCACCCCCTGACCCGGGGCTCGGCGCTCGGAAATAGTGTTCTGCCGAGCGTTGCCGAAGCCTCGCGTAGCGCGCTCAATCTGACATCAACACCATAAAAAGAGAGTTTCCAGTGTTGCGATAGTTGGAATACGGAGTCGTGTGGCACTTCCAGCCACACGCCTGTTACGACCCGTTGGACATGGTCGCCAACACGACCCCGCCTGGATCCCGGCGGCTAACGCAGGGCATATGTAACCTAGCCGACAGGTGTAACCAGGGATCCTCGGAACGGAAGAACTATGGACAAGTCACGTGGCCTCGGGGATAACGCGGGGTAGGGACAACCCGGGCTGGATATGTTGGATATGTCAGATATCCAACCGATCCCCGGATATGTTGGATATGTCAAATATCCAACATAGCCAAGATAAGGAGGACCGTTCAGGACTTGTATATAGGATGGACTCGAGCCGGGCTCGAGGACAGACTTCCATAGCTCTTCAGCAATCAACTTTGTGATTACCCTAACCGGTACTTTCAGCTATACCTAAGTGACGACTACTCTACGACTCTTGTTGAGGCCTTGACTGATCACCAAGACCTTTGAAGATCTACGATCTATTCGACCAGGACCACGGAACGACTGTTACTACTCTCAATCCCTGGCTTACTGTTAACACAAACCCACTGTCAGTTAGCTGGCCGTAACAACGCCCGCCAGGCTGAGAGGCCCAAGCCTCCCAGACCCACGTGACAGGCCAAGGGGGAATATCCCCACCTTCTAGTCAACAACACCACTTTCAACTATCATGAACCATCGATTAGAACCAATTTACTGTTATTTGTTATTGACGAACGGAATTCCGTTTCACCCCCTGTGAAACCTACAGGGAGTTATCGTGGATACTTGACTCAAGTACGAGGACACATAGCGACAGCATCGTCAAAGGGCGTTGAGGCAGCAGTGGAACTCATGACTCCGGGGACAGTTTCCAACAACGGCACGACAGTTGTTTACGGCAACGGTCGCACCGGCGGCGAAACGCCTCGAACCTATGAAAGACTGCGCCATAAATTGAGTTCAAATCTTCGTTGTTCAACCTTTCACTCAAAAACATTGGCGACACCTTTTAATTTTGAGCAATGAGATGCACAAGAGCTCCAAGTCACTACCTGATGGGCTGCTCGCTCTTTTCATTATAAGTGAACCATCTTTCACTCGTTGTTTTGGCGACAATATAAAAGGTAAATGCAAACCCAAAGCCCAGTACCCTAGTATCAGAAATATGCATCCTATAGGCATGTTGAAGATCGCCTTGAATAAGCAGCATCTTGCCCTCTTGACACTATAAAACTGAGATAGGTATTGTGAAACTATTGCCAAGACCCGATAAATACTTTCCAAGTTCATAGTTGTTAATATTATATCAAAGTGGATCTAGTCGTGTTGCCATCCATATCAAAGTGCCGAAATCGTCATGGTCCGAACACCAAGTTTCGAAATCTGACATCCAACCTCTCTTTGGGGAAGAATCCCCCGAAAGTTTGGTATACTCACGAAGATGTACAATCTTCAGACCCTCTTTGAAAAGTCGCTGATAGGCCTGCTTTGTATAATTCCGCTGCCATTCGACATTTGTTTTGGCCGCCCATAGGCTGCGGGTGCTTGGAAGGCCTACGGTCTTACACGCGCCACCACCATTGCCTGAGGAGGGCGAGCCCACTAAGCTGAGGAGCTCATTTATTGTGTATAAAAACGCCACTACCCTGTGAGATATGTGAGCTTGATCAAACACAACTGTTCTACCTCACAAAAGGAGTGCCTAACCAAGCCGGCATTTGCATGGCAGTGTCGGAAAGAGGGTGTCTTACCTCGACATGCTCTCCCTCAGGATCCATTCATTTCTGTCAGGGATACTGTCGGTCTTATCAGAATGTGATGAGTTAACAAATCGCAACATTGAGTATGCCATTGTCTACAATCGTGTGTTATATCAGCTACGTGGCATGTTACAAAATGGATGGGGGGATTTACGCCCAAGGTGACGACAAGCGACCTCAAATTATACTTCGGAACAGATGCGGCGTCAGAGATGTGTAAGATGGTGTATAGGGTAACGGCTTGAACAGCAGAGAGCAGAGTCTCCTTTTCGTATGATTCGTGCTTGACTTCGTCAGAATCGAGATGCTTCTTCGAAATCCTCATCTCACTACTTACCTCGTGGAAGAGCTTTTGTTGCTCCATGTACATGGTACGCCAAACGAAAGCTTTGTTTTCATAATCTGTCGCTTTAAACATCCGAACGATACTGGCGCATGCTGCCAAACATTGAGGGGGGCATTGATGGAATCCAGACTGCTGGCACCGTAACTCGTCACCGCGGCAGGGTGGATACATAAACGGAGGCAAACTAAGGCCGTCGACTAGCATGTCGGGGTAGCCACAGATGGTTCCCAGCATCATCTTGGAGACCAATGATGCTTCCATAGTTTTGAACCGCCGCGGGCGGAGTAATAGGGAGTGGTCTACTACTTGGGAGTATTCAAAGTTCGCTCGCTTTGATATCTCTGTATTTATATCCGCAATGATATCGGCAACGACGTCCGAATCCATGGTGAATCGTGTGTTTGATGAAGATATAGATGGTGGGCCAAGGAAATTGTCACCGGGCCAAAATGCTCCATCATTATCATGACGAGACTCAGTAGGCCATTCGAAATCCTCAGAATTCCCGCTGGCACTGGCGGCCGGAAACAAGTGAGCTACCTGTGGGGGCCTAGCTTCGCTCGCGTTTCTAGATGTGCTAATTGGAACACCCGTTGAAATATCTTGTACCACTCTCTCCGGAAGACACCTAGGCCTATGCAGTGGTGTCTCTTGAGGGGTTCGGCTCTCGTTAGATATGAACCGTGGAGTATTTGACACAGTAGAATAGCGGCATTGCGACCCACGACGTTCACATCGAGAGCACTTGGGTTGCTTCCGGTCGCACGCCAGCTTCGATGACCTACATTGATGGCAGAATTTCCGCCGAAAGTTTGGCATACTTCAAAATATGTAGCTGGATTACGTAGTAAATCGATGTGTCTGAAATGAAAGGCTAGGGAGCTACTGCAAAATCCGAATCCCCGATGATGTCGGCGTCTTCGGTTGGTGCGGAACTTGGTCTACTCCCGAAACTGTGTTAAATCCGACGGAGAGCTTCGGTTGAGCACCCAATGAGACTGCAGGGTAGAGTGCTGAGTCACACAGAGCACGGCGGTCATCCCGGTCCTCGTTAGCGTGTGTCCTGGCCATAGCGTTCAGGCAAGGTTGGAAAATAGCAACTTGGCAGTAGAAGGAAACTCAATTCAAAAGGAAAGGTGGTAAAGGGAGATGAGGCAGACGTGGTAAACAGAGTAGTTTTGCTGTTCAAGGACGACTAAACCAGTGTTATGTGAGAGGATGTAGACGCGGTCTGGAATGTATTGAACTACGCTGAGTTCCTTTGTTAACTAACCAGTCGAGACGCGAACCTATGCAACCCCTGCAAAAGAAGGAAAAAGAGAAGTACAAAAGCCAACAGTGGTTGTAAGCATAATATCTTTTAACCGGGATTTTCCTTCTACATTCTACAGATTACACGATTGACTCACTCTTTCTCGTCCTCAAGTAATAGTACGTTCGAATGCCATCCTGGGATCTGCAGTCTCAACATCGGGTTAACTCTAAATCAATACCATGCACAGCCATCGCAACTTTAGTGCTGGTGGACACTTATCTCGGCGTTTCGTCTTGCGCGATTGGCTGGACTGGGATCGAAAACCCGACACGTAGAATCTGCCTTTGACAATCGGAGTTTCGATGCATTTCCGACGCTATCGGCCTCCCAAGCGACTCAAATTTGTGTCATTGTTGTATACGACAATGAACCCTGTCCTATGGGAATGCGGGATTGGATTTCAAACCCGGATGGCAGAGAGGCCATGGTGGAGCTGCAACAACACGAGGTCGGGTTTCGCAGACAGTATCTTGTACTGAGCACGTTTAAGCACGTTTAACAATGCCAACTTGACATGTATAAAGACCACACAAGAGCTCATTGGGATCGATATGAGAGAACCTGTCTGGTCTCAACAGAAAGCATCATCACAATATTCCATCGTTTTCTCCATAACCAACTATCAACAAACTATACACAGCGAACTTCTTTGAAACATGGCTGCTGTTGAATCGATCATTAAAAAGTATTCGGAGGAACGTGACAAACGTTTCAGTGCGATCTCGTCCGGACAAGGAGCCAGTGTCAAGTTCAGAAATAGCTCTCTCCTCGATAAACTTGATCATGATCCGTGGGTTGATTACGACAACCTTGCCAAACAGCAACCACCGTTGAAAGACGGCTCCGATATCCGATTTCTGATCCTCGGCGCTGGCCACGCCGGGATCCTCTTCGCATATCATCTGATAAAAGCCGGGTTCCAGCCATCAGAAATTGTCATCGTGGATGAAGCCGGCGGGTTCGGAGGTACATGGTACTGGAACCGCTACCCAGGCCTGACCTGTGACGTCGAAGGTTACTGTTACCTGCCGCTTCTCGAAGAAACGGGTTTCGTACCTGAGCATCGCTACTCAAAGGGCGACGAGATTAGACGAAATGTCGAATTCATTGCCGAGAAATTCGGCATCCAGGGAATGTTTTGCACCAAAGCGAAAGGTGCGGACTGGGACGACACGCAAAAGCGATGGCTTGTCAAACTTGACCGTGACTTGGGACCGAATCACCAGGACTTGAGTGGCACCCTCGTCGTCGGCGCCCAGTTTCTCATACCTGCGGGCGGCATCTTCTACTCCCCGAGTGCCCCCGCCGTTCCCGGGCTCGAGACGTTTATGAAGAACCGAGAAATCTTTCATACGGCGCGCTGGAACTACGCATACACCGGCGGCACTCCTACTCAACCAGACATGGTGAACTTGCGAGACAAGACCGTAGGCATCATTGGTACAGGGGCCACGGCGGTTCAGGCTGTCCCTGAACTAGCCAAATGGGCCAAGCATCTATATGTATTCCAGCGCACTCCATCCTACTGCGGCCCTCGAGAACAGGTAAAGACAACTCCCGAGAGTTGGGAAAAGGTCGCAGCGGGACCTGGCTGGCAGCACGAGCGGATGAGAAATCTTAACATGTTCCTTAACGATCACCCTGAAATTACACCAGAGCAAGATCTCCTCAGGGACGGTTGGAGTCGATCGCGGCAGTTCTCTGGAATAATTGGTAGTCCTCGGGCAAAAGAAGTCACCGTTGACAACATCCCGGACCATATCCACCGCCTGCTGGAGCTAGACGCAGACATAGCATCGGGTCTTCGAAAACATGTCGAGCTGGAGGTAAACAACCCAGAAGTGGCTGAGAAGTTGAAGGCTTGGTATCCCGGGTGGTGCAAACGGCCAACATTCCACCAAGACTACCTGAAATCCTTCAACCTGCCCAACGTCACACTTGTTGATACCGACGGCCAGGGCATTGCGGCTTATACTGAGCGCGGTGTTGTGGTGGGAAAGGGGGAACTGGCCAAAGAGTACGGGGTGGACGTTTTGGTGCTAGCTACCGGATTCGCAACTCCAACGGGTGTTGACGGCGATCCGTCACAAGTGCTGGGCATCCCCATCCGAGGCCGCGGTGGCCGTAGCTTGACCGACAAGTGGATGGGCAATGAATTTGCAACTTTCTTCGGCGTCGCCACACACGAATTTCCCAACCTGCTCTTTTACGCGTCGAAAGGCGCCACTGGGTCGGCCAACACGACTTATCCACTGACCATATCTGCGAGAATGGCAGCCCACATTGCAAAGGAAGCAGTCAAGAGATCCTCAGACGATAAAAGGGTAGAGGTTGAAGTCACCGTGGAAGCGGAGAAACGTTACACGGCAGATCTCCAAAAGCACATGCCCTGGTTCGCCGCGGTAGCAACCTGCACCCCCACCTATTTCACGGATTACCAAGATCCTACCAAACGCCAGACTGCGAAGCCACCTGCTGTAGGGTGGACTACGGGAACAGTGGAGTTTGAGGAGGCTGTGGACAAGTGGGCTGAGAGCAGCCTAGAGGGGTTTGTTGTTAAGGGCTGAAGGAGGTGGCTTGCGGCCATGGTTCTTCTGCCTGTAGATTCACTGTTACGTGCTATAGTTTCATTGGTTGTTCTTTAGAAAATAAATAGAAGTTAGTTATCAAAGACAATGACATCTCGCATTTCTTGTGCCGCACAAAATTAGCTTGACGATGTAGCAAACCGTAGCCGAACACTGCCACACCCTATTCATCAACAAGACGATACGACAATGAAAACAGGGATTCTGGGCTCCTCATTATACCATGATTTGATGGAATGCCATGGCGACTACCGCCACATCAAATTCCCGTCCCGACGCCAAAATGCATGTTTCGGTACTGTCTGTCTCGGCCAAGAAGAGGGGTTCAGAGACAAAGACCCGTTCCAGACCGCGCCTAATGTCGTTGATAATTTCTCATCTGCTATGGTCCTACGAACTCATGCTTTCTTTCTTCTGCTCTGCTTCACTATCAGGATGATCTGCGAATGTAACATCGCGAGCACTGCATACGCTCAGCATTAACATCGAACCCCGTGCTGGCGTAGGTACTGAACTTGGTTGTATGACCGCACGTCATGTCTCAGGACAATATCGAAGTCCTGCTCGTTGCAGATGAAGGGGTTAGCAAGATGGCATGGGTCTTCCCTGAGCTTCTCTGACTGTGACCGCAGGCTCATAGTGATACCCACTCAGAGCTCGGCAGTGTAAGCTTGAATCTCGTTTCTCTGATAAACTCTTGATTGTCCCTGAATCACTGTTCTTGAGACCCAAAACTCGGTTGGTCTTACTGAAATATTGAACGCAGAGCATTGCTTCCTCGACAACCAGTCTGCGCAGCTCTATTCTCGATTATCGAGTGGAGAATGGGCGAACTTACCACCGGTACAAGGACGGCAGTTAGTTTTAACGCCTCTCACTGTTTGATCGTCAGTTCATTATTTCTAATCTCCAATCATAGAATACAATCTTCCAAACGACGAAAGGGAGAACGACAGACTCGGTAAGCTGTACTCCATGTAAGATTTGTCATGAGATCAGTCGTCTTCTCTAACAATGCTCTAGACTTGACACACCAGCTTTGGCTGCTTGCCCTTGACAATAAGCTCGGTGCGGCCCCCGCTTGCCAACCGAACGCTAAGGTCGGCCGTGTTCTGGATGTCGGCACGGGCACGGGCATATGGGCCCTCAATTTTGCAGAGGAGCATCCCGAAGCCGATGTAACCGGTCCAGACCCCATTTCCGCATCAGGAAACGCTAATCTCCATCTCTTGCTAGGTCCTCGGCAATGATCTATCTGCAATTCAACCATGTTTGTACGTAAATTCACCTCCAGCGCGACACTTTACCAATGTCATCAAGGCCGCTGGGCTAATGGGCAGTCAAGCGTGCTTCCAAATGTCAGGTTCGAAGTAGATGACGTCGAGGAAGAATGGACATACTCCCAGCCATTCGAATACATCCACAGCCGAGTGATGACTTCGAGTATCAGCGATTGGCAACTGTATCTGCGCAGATGCTACAAGTGAGTTTCCATTGCCCCCCCGGAACCTGCCCAGTCAGCCATTGTACGGAACATCATGACCTCCAAACTAACATTGCAGTGGAAAGGAACCTCAAGCCCGGCGGCTACGTCGAACTGCAGGAGATCGACCTGTTCGCGGTCTCGGACGACGGGACGCTCACGCCCGAAAACGCCCTGTCGAAATGGTGCAAACTCCTCTTCGAAGCGTCGGAGAAATTCGGACGGCCCTACATACGGGTCCCGTCGCTCAAAGGCATGCTTTCCGACGCGGGGTTCGTCGACGTGACGATGAGCGTGTACAAGTGGCCGTCCAACGGCTGGCCGAGGGCGCAAAAGTACAAGGAGCTGGGGATATGGAACAACGAGAACATGATGGCTGGCCTCGAGGCGTTTTCAATGGCACCCCTGACGCGGGCTCACGAGTGGACTCGGGAGGAGGTCAACGTCTTCCTCATTGACGTCCGCAAGGATATACACAATAGAGACGTCCATGCATACTGGCCCATGTGAGTCTTGAAGCTGCGCTTATCTTGGTAGGTATTGCGGGGCTAACTTATTTAGATACTGCATTATTGGCAGGAAGCCAGAGAAGGGGGAGTCGAAGGCATGAGCGACTGCGACGTTGAGTAAAGGTATACAGTTGCTGCTACAGCCTTTGTGTCCGGAACCAATTCATCATTTGTCACAGAGACTTTTCTACAGAAATGAAATGGTGTGAGTGTCATCTTTCTAGAATAAATGTAAAGACTCCGAGCCGGCCTTTTGTAGGTGCAAATTTTTAAATACACGTCCGCTATGTAACACTTCTATCCTTATTTACGTACTCCGTTTACCTACTCAACCCAACTGATTCGCACATCAGCCTACTTGAACCGGCTTGGCCGGTGTCGCTGGGGCTGCTTGGGAACTAGGCATGGGGCAGAACTTCTTCTTAATGTTCCCAACATTTCCCGTGGCGTCTAGTGAGCCCAGCATAGTTGACAGCTCGCCCATGCGCTGTGCGATGGAGACAAACATACCGGCTGCAGAGTGCAAGTTAGCATATGTGAATGAACTATTAATAGAGGCTGTCAAACCTTCAGCGTGCCAGAGATAGTGGCAGTGGAACGCCCAAACACCCGGATTGTCCGCGAGAATGCGGATAACGATGTGGGAGTATCCAGGAATTGTTATCGTGTCGCGACGCATTGGGTTGTCAAAGTTCCATGTCGTCTTGCTCTTCCCGAACAAGCCATCACCCCAGCCAACAACTTGGAAGTTTTGGCCACTACGTACATGTCAGCTTGTGTTCCAAAAGGCAAATTAGCCCGAGTGCTGGTGACTTACTGCAAGTGCCACGGGTGAACCATCATCGCATCAGAGTTGACGACGATCTGGGCGGCCTTGTCATCCTTGGAGACAAGAACAAACTGATCCTTGCCGAAATCCAATTTCGGGTTCGGGGAGTTCAGGTTCGCCGGAGAAATGTCCTGCTGCATGACCTTCCACAAGGTTGCATCATCCTTCAACGGAGTGAATAGAGTCTAGTAAAGGTCAGTCTCGCATTTCAGCAGTCGTGCTCTCTGGTAACGTACCTCGTTGACGCGAGTGCGCACAACGTCGCCGATGCGCTCCTGCTTGAAGGTGAAGTAATGGAAATTTCTCTCGCCAGGGACGTATGCCGTCCTGCTTCGTACAGGCTTGGGCAGGTTGAATGGCAGATCCTCGCAATGGTCACCCCAGGGCTCCTTGCCAATACCGGGAGTTGATATGCTTTTCACATCCCACGCCTTGCCTATCGGCGCGGCATTGATATCGGTCTCGTCGTAGGATAGGATGGCAGTCGCGCCAAAAGGGGTGCCATGCATGCCGGACATACCCTTGTTGGTCTTGTGAGACATGTGGAAACACCTAACGGCTGCATCTGCACGGATCAGGTAGTTGCCCGCGGTCTGATTGGCGTTGACAATGACGGAATAGCGCTGGCCGGGGTTCATGTATACGCGGGTGGTAGCGATAGGGGCCACCTCGACACCATCAATCTCGACAATCTCTAGAGCGTGACCATCAACTGTTACGAAGATGGGAGTCGAAGTGCCGTGGTTGATGAGGCGAAGGCGGGACTTCGAACCGCTCTTGATACGGGTGTTGTACAGCGAGCCCCATGTGCACTTTGGCGGAGGACCTCTTGCGGAATTGTGCTCAGCCATGTTGTGACCCTTGTGATCCTTCATATCTGCCATGTTATGGCCACCAGCTGGCTTGTCACTGCTGGCGTCATCTTCGCTCAAGCTAGAGCAGTTGAAAGTGTTCTTTCCGTTAATGATTACGTTGTCCGGGGGAGGCTCTCTACCCGGCTTTTTCGGCGCCCATGGAGGAGTGGCACTCAAGTATTGTTCAAGAAGCTTGTTTGTTGTTAGAATATGCCATGCACTGAATGAGGGTCTGTGCAGATGGAACCTACATTTCCTCCATATTCATGGAACAAGTCTCCAACCATGACAATTTTGTCGTCATCCACTGGAGGGACCTTCTCATCAGGGTCATGAATAATCTGGAAGAACGTTGTTAGACTCAGGTTCGTAACACCAATCGTGCCAGTAAATCCGATAGTGGAATGACTATATAGGCAATTCTTACCAAGGGTCCAAACAATCCATCGGTGATTTGAACCGTGACGTGCGCATGCCACCAGAACGTTCCTCGCTGGTCAGTAAGGTTGAACTCGTAGGTGAAACCTTCGCCGGCAGGAATCGCGCATTGCGTAGTACCATGAACACCGTCCATCCAGACAGAATTCCTCTGGTCGATACCGTGCCAATGAATGGTGGTGCTTTCCTTTAACATTTGGTTGTTCACCGTCACACGGATGGTATCGCCCGTGTTTGCCTCAATGAGCGGGCCGGGAGACTGTCCGTTGACCAGGATCATGGACTTCTCGTAACCATCGGGCGAGTGAAGCTGCCGCGTAATATTGAAAACATACTCGCGGAAAGTTGTCTTGTTTGAGATCTCAAATCCAGTCTTCAGGTCAAACTGTTGCTCCGGTGTCAACTTGACCTCGGGTGTTTGAGTGGGGACTAGGCTTGTTGTTGGAGTCAACGTTGTTGTTACCTCCGGGACTGGGACTGGGGCTGGTGTCGGAACGGGCTCTTCCTGCTGTTGTTGGCCTCCATGGTTGTCATCATCGTGGTGAGCTTCTTCCGGCGGAGCCGCCTTTGCCTGCACGTTGAAGAACTGGAGGAAGATGAGGCCGAAAAGCGCCAGCATCGACAAGCAAGTGAGGCCCAGTATCCACTTGAACGACCTCCTCCCTGCAGGGCGTCTGTAGGGTGCTTTCTCATTGAAATCCGCTGAGCTGGCTAGCAGAGTATCACTCCGTCGGCCCTCTATATCAGTATCAGAGGATGACCTGCCCCCCAGCATGGGGTCATGCTCGCGTGTTCCGTCCCGCGGAACTAGTCCGGCATTCATGGTCGCGCTAGGAAACATCAAACGAAAAAGAATACAAAAAATCAGATGTACAAAGAACCGAAAATTCAAGAACCAAAATGATGGGAATGGTAACGGAACCAGCAGCAAGAGTGCTCGGGTTCGTTTAGCGATAGAAATTCGCCATCAACTTTGCAAAGTTGTAAGCAGGAAACGCGGAGGATATGAGAAACCACGTGGTAAAAGGGGGCAATGGCCAGGCATAAGTAGCCAGAAAGCCTCCGCTGAAGCAGTGAGAGGACCCTCTCTTTTTGCTTTTAAGCGAGGTCTGGGACACTTGACGGACAAGGGGGGGCGACAGAACCTTGAGACGTCTGCTAAACGAAATCGGGAAATACGCCCAGAAGCCTAGCAGCTCGGTAGATGCAACTCCTCATTTACTTGTTTCGGTGGCTTGGCAAGTTCGGCCGGTCGGTAACATTAAACTTTGGGCAAAATCAAAACGTGACGTGCCGGGACATTTGACAATGTATTTGCAGTGAATAAATGACGAGAGAGAGAAAACTCAAATTTCATATTTCTGAAGCCAATCGATATTTGCAAGAATTCACGATAAACCTTGCCAGAAAATCACTTCCAACCATGCTCGAATGCAACTTAAGCATAGTTTGTTAAGCGCGGAGAGTTCCAGGGGCATCCGCCTCCGTGATCTGCAGATCTGAGGTGGAAATCTGCCCACCAATAGTCACTAAATCATCTGCCATCTGGCATTTGGTTTCATCCCTTTCCCCCCCAAGACCGTGTCATGGAGTCGCATGTTTCATTCACACGGTGTTTGTCAACCGACTGCGCTATTGTTTGTCATAAACACGTCCGTCACTAATTGGCATTGGCTAATTTGGCATGTTCTCGGACTTGAGCAATGCTGCATCTTCCACTTTACAGCGGCTAGTTACTTAAGGGCTGCTAGATCCGACGACTCTGGGATGACGCTTAGCCACCAACGCAACCCGCAGTACAGCACCTGCACGCCGGTAGTGGCGGAGTGGGACTTTTCTTCACCCCTTTTGGAGCCTACTACACAGGTAGGTAGTAAACGACAAACAAGCAGTCTCCCATTTCTCAAACAACTCAACGGTTATTGCGGTTCATCGGTATGACCTAGAACCGTCGATCTGGCGACTTGAAGATAAACATTTCTGTGTACCCAGTCCTCGACGTTCATCATCCGCCTCCAGCAATGCCAATGCTTTTTTGCCAAGTAGGCCTCATGCTGCTGACATCCAACGATGGACTCCGATTGATGGAGTTACCTACGATTGCCCAATTTAGATTTATAGTGGGTGGAGGAGGTAAAGACTCCGACGTGGGGGAACTCCACCACTGTTCTGTTTTTTTTAGAGGCGCCCTGGTTGGCTCAAGGGGGGAGGGTAGGTACCTAGGTAGTCTTACTTTAAGCTGTAGCAACCACGTCTCTCCTCTACACGCCCAAACTTTCTTGACCTCAACATTTTTCGATCAAAGAATCATCCGTCCATATCTGTCTCCCATCCAGAAGCTACCAGGCAAATTTCAGTGGCTTTTATAACAACTATTGTTTTCAGTGACAGCCTAATTCAGTATACTTACAATACCGCGCTTGGAAGCTGTGAAAACCTGTAGCTGTCCCACAGGACCTTTCTTTGAATACGTCCAGTTTTTTTTTTTTTTTTTTCTTAATGAAAAAGGCCATCGTTCAATATGATATGCTGCGATGAGCCCTCAACCTTCAGGTTGAAAACGGTGTAGATGTTCTAATGTGCCACAACGTCCGCGAGCAGTTACCCACAATAGCTCAATGATGTACACTTTGTTCATGACTTGGGCTTCTCGTAGAACGTAGGCAATATTCTGATGTACTGAACATGCTCTGTGAACGCCACTTCTAACGACCTATCATCCATAGCACAGTTCTCGGCCATGGCACAAAGTACCTAGGTATTTTCACAACGAGCAAGTACTACCACAAGTACCGCCATGCTTCGACGCCAAACGACTTGAGACCTTCTTGGCTCACGTAAGCTGCATTTCCCTTACTACTGGGCTATGCGCCAATGATCTTCATAGACACTCTCACATAAACCCTCCTCACAAAGTTTCATTTACGTTGAAGCATGAACATGCGTCGACCTACTTGTGTGGAAGGAGGGGTTCGTAACGATTAATTGGTCCTCATCTTAGACCCACTCGACTTGGATGATGTAAATTTAAAAAAGAAACAAAAAAAGTTCCGAAGAGATTAAATTCACTAGGAAGAAGTCATTTGGCTTTGTGGTACATTCCAGCCAAGGCAGAGAGCCCAATGTCTGGGATTCCATCATTAACTAATATTACTAGCTACAGTAGTTTTAACAAATTGAAGTTATACTGATAAGCATTTGTTATGAATAAAATTGATACGGCCTAACTCGTTGAAATGCTGGTCGGCGTACCTATGTAGTGCAGAGCAGGGGACAATGACACTGGATTGTCATGAGCAAACCTTTGCTCTGTGCCACGGTTGGTTCCAACCGCACAAGCCCGCTTGTAACAAATACACCAGTAGGAGGTCGTTTTTAAGTGAGTCTTCTCAAGCTTAACTAACTGTATAACTGATTCCTAGTTCCTCTATTCCGAAACAACCCGCATATTCCTAAGTCATTGTTGAGATCACATGGATACCCGTAGAGCGGGATATCCTTCTTAAGACGACAACTGGTGCTCGTGCTTATGACTGATGTCTAAGAAGAAGTTCCAGCAAAAGTGAGAACCAAAAGTGATCGCGGAGTTTATGCCCCTGTATGACTTGCTGGTGACGGAACTAGCTCAACCCGGAGTTCCGGCTATTACCACAATCTTATTATTTCAAATGTCTTATGACCGCTAGGTCTGGTCTTCGTTACGGTATCTGTTGCGATAGTTGGAATACGGAGTCGTGTGGCACTTCCAGCCACACGCCCGCCAGGCTGAGAGGCCCAAGCCTCCCAGACCCACGTGACAGGCCAAGGGGGAATATCCCCACCTTCTAGTCAACAACACCACTTTCAACTATCATGAACCATCGATTAGAACCAATTTACTGTTATTTGTTATTGACGAACGGAATTCCGTTTCACCCCCTGTGAAACCTACAGTTGCTGGTCCGTTCTGTTATGTCTACCAGTGAGTCGGCGTTCAATGAGACCAGTCAGGATTTTCGCAGAGGCCATTACGACTTAATGTTTAACATTGGCCATAGCAAAAGAAACAATATTAATAGTAATAGTTGTTTTAAACATTGACTTGGTTGCTGTGTTTCCTCGTTGCCTTGGGGCTATGGTCTAAGCCCATCTGTCTGAACTTGTTTTACGGTTCCGCCGTGCTTCGCTACTGAATCAATAATCCCGGCCCAATACTTCTGTCGCAGTTTGTTTTCTCAACCAACTAGTATGTATACTAGTTGGCAAAAAAGGTAGCAACAACGGTCCGAGTGAACCGAGATATCTGTTAACCTCAAGCTCACCCCAGTGCCGCTCTAGACAGCTTGTGCTCTTCTGTAGAGCAAAGAAAGCCCTTTGAAGGGGTAATCAACCGCATTAACTACAGAACCATGGTCAATGGCCGAGCAGTCGCTTTCATGTTTCCATAGAGGATGTGATTCAGTCATTGACCCACAGTTTTTCTCGGTGTCATGCGTAACTTTGATGAAGCCGTGAATTCTCAGCAACAATCCCTTCTTTGAGTTTATAAAAAGCTGCCTTTGAGTGACTCATGAATTTTAAGTGTTTAATCAATAAATAGAAACAGCTTGGGCCAATACCTTTCAGGTCCTTCGATTGATGGCCTAAGCCAATCAGAACATGTGTGATGCACAGCAAAGGATACATACCATGTACCATGTGAATGATATAACCAAGGAAACACGTGGTCCTGGCTCCAAATTAATCAAGAAACAAGCAACATAGGCTCAAGCAAGCGGAGAAATAGTCCTTGTCCAGATAAGGAATTTGCATTGGTTGATTGGGGGGTTCAGAGGACCAGGGATATGACGTGACCGTTGGCCGGATAGATATCGGGAAAATCACCCTTGTTTGAGAGCCCCTTCTTCGACGTCTGCTTGACGGAGTTCCCACTGTCTTGCCTTAAGGACGTCACATTGGAAAGTGGATGGATATCTCGCTCACTAGTCTTGTCGAACTTCATGGCTGGAATCCACTTGGTGCAGTGATACCATCGAGTCCTGCCATAGCGCAATGCCGTTGTCGCGCCCACTTAAGTCTCGCTTGGTGCCTCAATATGAGGTTTAAAATGCTGGGCAGACTCTCGTTTATATGTTTTTGAGTGCTGATATCAACTTGCAAACTTTCTTAAGCCAGCCTGAGTGAATCGCAAATATGACGCAACTCATAGATGGGGTGTCGACAACTCGGAGCAAGGTACATAATGTCTACCGTGGAACAATCTTTCAGGCCGTTTTGTTGGGTCTTATCAGCTTCACGCAACCTGGAATATGGGCAGCAATGAACAGTAAGTTAAATTAAGTTTGGTCACACTCGAGGGGATACTAACGATTCTGTCAGACCTCGGAGCCGGTGGCCAAGCCGAGCCATATGTTGTAAATGCTGTTAATGTCATCACTTTTGTGTATGTTGCCTCTTTTTCTGAAGCAGTCTAGCCGACGATACTAACATCACTCACAGCATCATGGTGATCTTTTCTCCCTTGGCCAGTATTGTCGGCAACTTGATAGGCATGAAATGGATTGTCGTTTTCGGAACCCTGGGCTACGTTCCTTACTCTGCGGCTCTCTACTGCAACTCTCTCTGGGGCACGCAATGGTTCCTTATATTTGGTGCTATTACTTGTGGATTCTCTGTTTGTTTTCCCCTGGTTCGTTTGGTATTTACAGTCAATCTCTAACATGAATCTAGGCTGCCGCGCTGTGGCCTGGAGAGGCAGCGATCGCAGTTGGCTATCCGGAAGTTGCTCGCCGAGGCGTTTGCAGTGAGTTCTCAACCATCGGCACTCTTATCTGAGGTGCGTTAAACCACTGGTGTGACTGACTTTGAATTTAGTTAGCATCTGGATGGCTCTCGGTAAACTTGGCTCCATAATCGCTACTGCGATCCAACTTGCTATCAACAAAGACGGGAACTCAACCGGTGCCATCGCGCCATCAACCTACCTTGTTCTTGTCGCCATTCAGTGTCTTGGTTTGCCCCTGTCTCTTCTATTAGCACCTCCAAACAAACTGGTGCGCAAAGATGGAAGGAAGCCGGCCTTCGCCAACTCGCAACGTTCCTTCATGTCGCAAGCGAAAGGGTTTCTCGCACAGTTTCGGCGGAGGGAAGTATTGCTCTTAATCCCCGCCTTCATCACTGCGCAGTGGGGCGTTACATATCAAGGTAACTACATGGCTGCTTACTTCACGGTGCGCGCCCGTACGCTTTCCGGGTTCTTGATTGCTGTCGTCGGGGCCATTTCCAACCTCTTGGCTGGTTGGTGGTTAGACACCAAGCATCTTCGCCGGACCACCCAAGCGCGGTGGAGCTGGTATTTTCTCCTCGCTCTTTTCACGCTGGTTTGGATCTGGAACATCGTTGTCCAGAAGCGTTGGGCGCATCACAGTCCCGGTGCGATTGACTGGAGCAGCCCGAGTTTCGGGGAGGGGGTGGCTATATTCATTTTATACCGGTGAGATCTAAACCTTTCGGTCTTCAGAATAAGGGCCTTTTATAAGTATGAACGCGGGTGCTAACATGTAACTTTCAGGATTGCGTACGAAACCGTCGGTGTGTGGCTATACTGGACGCTTGGTACCTTCGATGTCGAAGCCGATACTATTGCCCTCTCTATGGGTGTTCTTCGCTCTGGAGAATCCCTTGGCTCCGCCTTATCGTATGCCGTCGGGTCGGTTCGTAGTGCATCTCTGATGACGAACCTGATTGTGTCCGTTGTTGTCTTTTACATCGCAGTTCCCGCCACCATCTGGGCGGCTCATCTTGTCAAAGACAGACTTCCAGGAGAGTTTAGTGGTTCTGATAGCGATGGTGAGGGCACCAGTCAGCAGCAGTCTTCACAACCTGATGCTGAGCAGGTTGAAGTGGGCTACAGCTCTAAAACGTGAGATTGGTGTTTCTGAGATACCTAATCTAGTAGCATGGAAATCCAATGGCTGGAAGACTGAAAGTTGAAGACTTCAAATTTTCTGAATGTATTTTATCATCGAAAGCATTCGCATGTTATTGCGATATGGGGGGCTCCTTTGGAACTTTTAGCAGCTGTTGCCTGGAATAAACCGAGGCCTTGTCGCCTCCACTGCTTGCGCCAATTGCTTACATGCACCAATAATGCGCTTGCAGCTAACCCCTACAACTGCAGGCGACCTTACAGAGTATCTCAGGGGTAAATCTCTTTGAAGCTTCCTTCACATTTCTGCCATTTTAAGAGCAACATTAACTGTTACTTAATTACTCCGTCTTACCACTTTCACTTACATGGACGAGCTCACGTATCGCCGCGATGCCATCGCGAAGAGTCTAACAAAATATTACGAAACCCTCGCCCGAGCATGTTACTTCTCGCCAACCGACATCCAGTCGCCTCCACCAGAAGGTTGGAGTGACTCTGAGCTCGACATTGACGCTCTTCGTTCCTTGGGCCGTTCCGACAAGGCCATCGACTTTCTTAGGCATCTCCCGTACATTAAGCCATTGAAAAACAGCAATATTCCGATACAATGGCCTGTTCTCATTCGTTCACGAGCGATTCGTTACCTGCAGGATGGCGGTGACTTCAGCAAGTGGTCATCCCGTGGTGAGGAGGGACTGTCCGAGTTGTCATGTTTATCTTCCGTCGAGCCCTTCGCTGGGCTGGTTGGTTTGCCTCCTCATGAAGTTTCTCTCACCACTGATTACGGCAGTGGCTTCATCGATTCAATCTCTGTAGGCCAGCCTCGATGCATTATCGACTGCGAAAAGGGCGTCCTGCCATCAGAGGCTGCCAGGTCATTACGGACTATAGGGGGGGCATTCATGGAAGATACCCAAGATGCTGCTGCGCTTTTTGAAGATATGACTTCCAAACTGCTGGGCGGCAATCACCTTGCGCTACCACCTATAGAAGACTACGAGCCGGAGATCATGAGCCCCCTGGGCGATGACCTCATGGGAGAGCTTTGGAAACGAATCGAGTGGATCTATAAGTCGCACGGGTGGTATAGTTACGATAATGATCCATCAATGTGGCGGCGTGACGAGTGTCTGATCAAGTTGAAGGAATTCCGCACGCTCATGTGGGAGGCTGACAAGAAAAAGGTGGAATTCGAACAGAATCTCGATGATGATGACGACGAAAACTACCAGGGCAACGACATGTGTGAAGACAAAGAAAGTAAAAGATCATCTGTTGATGATTCAGACGAAGAGCTGAACTCGGAGCTAGATATCAGCGACATTGCAACAGAAGATTTAGAAGCAGAGCTTGCTGAACTTCTCGCAGACCAAAATGAGCCATCTATGGAGGTAGATCCAAACTACTCAGAAATTGTACACTACGACTATAGCCGCGATGCTGCCGTGGACGTTGTTGAGCGATACTACAAGTTGCTATCTCACATGGCATACTTTCCGCCGGACCTTTTGGAGTGCGCGCCAGAAAGTGGCTGGTGCAATGACAAGTTCCCTTTAGAGAAACTAGTCAGGCTTGGGTACTCGGATAAGGTTATCGATCTGCTTAGGTATCTGCCTTATTTGGCACGCGACAAGTACCACTGGCAATTGTTTAAAGACAGCGAACCTAAGCGCTATCTCAACGATGCCAGACCCTTTGCGAAAATACCAACCGAGAGGCTCAACAGAGAAAAGCTTTACAAGTTTAAGCTTTCGCCTTACAAAGATTGTGTCTTGCCTCCAGAAATGGTGGTGATATCGGCATCGGCAGACGGTGTATGGGGCTCTTGGCTTCTTTTAAACACGGAAACAGGTAAGATTCCAATCAGTCCTAATGGCCTTATGACAAAGACTCCAAGAGCTAAGAATAAACTTAAGGGGCACTCTACATTGAAAGCTTGTCCAACCGCAAGTCTTGGGATCCCCCGGAAAGTCAGCCGTGGCTGCGCAACCAAGCAGTCCCCATAGTACCCTTCTTTGAGGATCTCATTTACCGTGCACAATCGCTCGAGATTGTTCCGGTACCAGGTGAAGATCTAGAGCTGAATCTCATGCCTGGGATATGGGCTGAGCCAGACTGGTTCCTGGGACGCAAAGTGCTGGCCAGGATGGGAACTATGGACCAAAGAATTCTCATTCCTAACGGAAAGAGATGGGGAATCGAGGTGAGACCATATTTTCCCATTTTTGACCCCCTCATGTTGAGTGACTTTCGCATTTGGTCGCTAATATTTCCCTTGTTGCAGGATGCGCGGAGAATGTATCGTCGGTTTCATTGGCCTGATCTGGAGAACTTTCGCAGGGATGAGTGCTTAGAGGCACTTGCACAATTACACCATGACCTTGTCTATCCGCGCAAGAATGCCAAAGATGAGGTGTGATGTACCAATGACGGGCAGGGTAAAGACGTCAACTACACTTGAAGGGTAACATTCTCACTGGGAAACGATTCTCCTAAATCTTGTTTCATAGATTCTGGCAAACTGGAAGGCTACAGTTGTGCTGTAGAACAAAATCACCAAAGCGAAGCGCTGCTTGAAAATACGTTTTTGTAAAACAAATAGTTGTCTAAGGCAGTATTTACTAATTTGAAAGTAATTAATCACAACTCTCGGCATTTTCAAAGACCAAGCTCCTTCTTCAACCCAGGCAAGACAGTGCCCTCGTTGAAAGACCACACCAGCGCACTGTTGTGCCCAGTAAACGCTGCGCCAGCCCAATACGTGTTCCGAGCGCCCTCCAGCGCGAGCAGCTTGGAGTAGAAGCCGCCCTTGATCTCATCAGCAGACACGCGCACGTTGAACGGCGCATGGTTAGAGTAGTACGGGAACGTAACAGTTTCCGCCGCATTTTGCGGCACAGCACCAACGGCAGCCAAGGTCGCCAGGTGCTTCCGGATGATGGCCTTTCCGTCCTCGTCGGTGTAGTCCGCGTTGTTGAAACCGACGCCGACCAAAAAGTCGCCGGAGGAACCGGTGGTGTAGATGCCGTTGCTGCCTGGGATGACGGGCTGGTTGAAGGGGGTCTGGACGCCGACGTTCTGGAGGCTGTTGTTCAGGCCTTGGATAGTGGCGACGCCAGCCCAGTAGCCGATGGCGGAGAACTTGGAGAAGAGGCTCTTCTCATCGGCGGACAGGTCGTAGGTGCCCACGTTCTCAATGGTCGGGGGTATGGCGATCAGAAGCTTGCGAGCGCGGACGAGCTTGTGGTCTTGACCAGGCTGGTGGATGAGTACGGAGACACCAGAAGTGTTGCTGTCGTCAATCTTGACGTCACGATCGACTTTGACAACGGTAGTGTCGAGGAGAATGCTGTCTCCGAGGTCCTTGGCCGCAGCGTCGTATAGAGCTCTCGTGTCGCCGTTCGCAGATATGATGAACTCACCAAATATGCTGTTCATAAGACCGGGTCCGAATCCCTTGATGCCGTACAAAGCAGGGATTGTTGAGATATCACCGGTGTACCAGTTGAATTGGGCAATAATGGGCAAGAGCGCGGAGAAGTTATACTTCTGGGCCAGCTCCCCAAAGGTCACCGTGAGTTCCTCTGGAACGGGGTCGGGAACGAGGAATCCCTGGTCGATCCAGGGGTACTTGGCGAGGACATTGATGGAGTATGCCTGCGCCGCCGCCTGAAGGGCCTGCTGCTGGGCCGCAGTAGCAGAGGCGTTTTGAGCCGGGATTGGAATGCCGAGGGAGAAGTCGTAGTTCTTCGTCACGGCGCCCGGTTGCGGGTTGAGGGGGTTGTTCTTGATGGTGGAAACGTTGAGGCGGGAGAAGTAGTTGCTCACGATCTCGCTGTTCTCGAAGACGACAACGCCAACGTTGGTTGGGATGTGAGTCTGAGGGTTGACATATGTCTCGGCGTGGCCTCCGATCTGGGACTTCTTTTCCAAGACGAGCACCTTTGCACCGGCGTCCTTGAGGTGAATTGCGGCGTGGATTCCGGCAGAGCCACCACCGATGATTGCGACATCGACATCAATAGGCTTTGCCGAGCATGGAGAGGCGATGGCCGAGGAGACCAGGAGCGCCCAGGCCGGCGACGCGATCCGGGAGATCTTCATGTTGGAGAGGGTTGAAACGAGCAGAAACGAATGGATTTATCAAAAGGACAATGCAAGGAGTGTTATTTGGTAGGTTTATTAAGTATTACGGGCAGATGTGATTGTGTAGGACGCCTTGTGCCGTCTTCAAGTCTGCTCTGGGTCAAACATTGAGAGGTACGCCCATTTATGAAGAATTCCCACGACAACTCGTCCGGCGCATCCGTCAACATCAGGGTGCTTATTGATGCCGTGCTGAAAGTGGTAGTTTTCGCCGGCCTCTAACATTCGTTACTAAAGGTGCCATGGTGTGTTTTTGGAAATGGTAAAGTAACTAAAGGTGGCTTTGCAGTACCGACAATACCGAGGACAAGGAGTTTTGAAATTGGTTTAATTAAGACGGAAACCTTGAAGCTTCAGAAGGTGTTGAACTGAAGTGTTTGGGCTCCGCTATAGTAATCAAGCTTTGATTAGTCTAGTTAACCGATCCAACCTCAAGGTTCACCAAGCTATGGAGCATTAATGGCGTCATTAAGGCCCGGTTCAGACGGAAACCTGGGGTTGGGTTGCTGTGATGAAATGCATGGCGACGGATAATTTCCTAGTTATCGACAAGGACAGGTTATTGAAGAATGTGCCAAGAATTAGCCATTTGGGATCCGATTCTTTAGACGAGCTAGAGACCAAACTGTACGCCTACCAACAATCATTATTACACTACGTTAAAAAGCATATTCTTACATCATCATTGCCCAAATGCCATATGTCAGGATTATTTATATGTTGTGAGGATAAGGACATAGCAAGCTCTGCCTCTCTCATGCTGAATGAATTTCAAGTCCAATCAACAAGGTACATGAGACAACCCAACCTGGACTATGGAACGGGAAACTTTGAAGTTAGACTAAACAACTAGCCAAGTACTAGTAGGATACGAAACCGAGAACGAAAACGGAAATGCCTGCATCCCTTCTCAAGTCGTCGCGCACACTTGCATGTCGAATTCTTGCCGCAGTGTTAGTTGCGTTCAGAAATGTGGTGGTTTTTTTCCAAGGTGTTTTTAAATAGGATGTGATTAACACGGTCGCCTTCGACAACATCTACTGCTGGAAGGCAAAAGGTTTGTTTGTGCATGCGCATACGTATAACGAAAAACAGTGCAAGCAAAGGTTACGATTCCCAAACTCCCCTATCTCTCGAGTTCGAGCCCGAGTTGAAATTTTGATCAAATGATGAAATCACCCGAACCGGGCTTGGTCTTGCATTGGCAATGGTGTATTATCGGAAGCACCCCGAATAACAGTACCTTGTAACCTCGATCATCAGTGCTGGTATCAGTTGTGTTGTCCAAGGCTCTAAGCCTTTGAATTTTCTCTACTTAGTCATGGGCACTATTGCAATCGTATCCTCTAATTCTGCGTTTGATGAAAGCTTTGATTGTTTGATCCCAAGTAAACAATGTGCAGAACAACCAGACGCAAAAAAGAAAATGATCTGCGTGTTACGCCCGTAGAGGGATCAGGGGAGTTAGGCCAGACGCAAAGAGTAAACTCGCGAGGAACTGAGGCTGAGAAACAACCCCACCTGATCGTCACAACCGGCACCAAAGAAACGGATGCGTTTCAATGTAGCACAATGTTTCTTGAGGACCAAAGTTTAATAAAACAGTCAAGAGGGACTGTCCTACTGCAACTTGGCACTCTATACTTTCTCTAACATCCACTGACAGCGTCCAGTATAGGTTGCCGTAAGACGTTATATAGGACAATACCAGCCCTCAAAGCAGCTTGTTCGTCACATAGTCTTCTAACCCACAGCTAGAACTGCCGCATCCGCACACGGCAGAAAACACTTAACCCGTGTCGGCCAGCCAGACGAGTATTCAACCACCACGCAGACAAATCCACCTCGCCCGGCCCGTATCCGCACATAACACCGGGCGAGAAAGACCTCCCGCACACGACCCGGAATCATGAAGAGGTCTTCGATGTAGAGCAGTAACCAACATGATGCCTTACATGAACAGAGAGGCCCGATACATCCCCGAGTTCGATTCTCGGTTTCGGAACAAGCACTTTTCACCTCTGGACCAATCCCCGCTCCTCACCCACCGTTCGAAAAGGCCACCTCCGGAACGCCGTCACCAAACCCCGGAACGCCGTGCCTACGCGTCAACACATTGGAATTACAGCCCGCTAGTCATGACAATGAGGACCCCTCCCCTTTCCCACTGCAACTATAAATCATGTGGTCCCAGAACCACCCGCACCGGACGCGACGCAAGCACAAAGCTGACAAAGAAATCACTAAACTATACGCGCTCCCTCCCCCCTTCCCGTGACCGATCGTACCCTGCGCATCGCAAGCGCTGACCATCCCCCCCTACTCCCCCTCCACGGAGACGGGGGGCGCGATTAGGATCCCGAGGAAAGCGCACGTCGCCCGTCGTCGCCGTCGTCGCCGCCGCCGTCGACTACGAAATCCTTCCCGCGCCGCCGGTCGTGAGCGGCGTTGCGACTGGTCCGGCACGTCACTTTCCCCCAAGGGTGTTGTGCCACTTTTAAGCGCCAGGAACGGGCCAGGAACGGGGGGACAATTGTCTCGTTCATTTTTTACGACCGAGGGTTTATGTGATACCTAGTGGCGGTCGGGTTTTGTAAACGCCGGAGCCTGGATACCCTATTAGATGACTTTACACTTTACCGTGGTCACTATGCCACTGTGCCGTGCGTGGGATGGCGGTTTGGCATTTTTGGACTGGGATAGTTTGGTTTACATGCTTTTTTTTTTTTTTGGTTCTTTTTTTTTGGGGCGGGAAATGTCACGGCCGCGCCTACACTACGATACTGACGGAGTAACCGCCGCGTTGCAATGCTCAAGTGACTTGCTGATTGTGAATTACGGACACGAGCGCGCGCGTGAGCTTCACTGATTACCTACTGCGACGATACACAAAGATCCCCCCCTTCCTCCCGCCCAAACTTCGTATCGAGTTACAGGGTTCAGCCAGCTCGGTAAAACCCCGAATATGTCTGCCTTTTTGTCGTCGCAACGCCGACATCCGGAAAAAAAAAAAAAAAAAAAAGACTGATCCTTGCTCACTTACCCCGGTCAAGAAAAAGGTCACTTGGGCAATGTACACTGGAAAAAATAAAAAAAGTTGGCAATAGAGTCTCCGGCTGCGTTATTAATATCGTCATCACGGTTCAAATTTCACTCAAGGGTGGTCGGGAGGCTGGAGGATGGAGCGTTACATGTCCTCCTCCTCCTCCTCCACAAGTTCCGTGATTTCTTTTCTACACCGGCTCGGCCAGTAAAAAGGCCGGTTCCCAATTCCTCGCTGCCGGCCATCACGCAAACGTCTTTTCTCTATCTTATTTTTTAAGGTTGGTCCAGAGGGCGTTGGGCCGAATAGGAAACCAAAAGGCCAAATCTCGCACCTCATTCGTCGCGACAAACATGCAAGCTACCCCCTTTCGCGATTCGCGAAAGAACAGGGGACTGGCTGGTCCAAAGTCTACCATTCACATCACATTCTGTACGCGAACCTCCAGAGTGTGGAAACTGTGGGAATACCATAAGGTATGTCCCGTAAACGTAAATGTCACTGCAGAAAAAAAGACATAGTGTGCTGCTGCCACTGAAGAAAGAGAATGGTAAAGAGACCAAAAAAAAAGTAAAATAAAAATAAATAAAGAAAAAGGAAAAAAGACCAAACTGAAAATCATAAAAATAATTACGGATACGTATCCGAGCCGCGTCTTGCGAATCAGTTGTATCACTATCGTTAGATTCCCCACCTGTGGACCCAAAAAGCCAAGGAAGTTCGCAGGAAACGAGAATCACCTGCCATCAGTGGGATAGACCGCGCGCGACGCTCTCTCGCGACGGTATAGCTCTAACCGGGCAGTAGGGACTTTTGTGCGTGCGGGAAACCCGTTCTGTGGCGTTGCGTTGGGCTTGCGGGAGCTTGTGGTGTGGGCAGTTTAAACTATCGACGCTGGGCTCCTTTTTTGTCAAAGAAGCCCATTCGCAAAAATGAGGGGAAAAAAATGCTGCCCTATGTCACCTCTCCGTGCACACGCGGCTTTTCGTCTGATGACATTGATGATCAAAACACGGCTTGCACTAACGTTACTCACATTGGCCGGGCGCTCGACCTCAGCTTGTGTAGATCCCGTCTGCTGGTAAGATCAGGCAGGGCTTGGCGGACTTTTGATGGCTGACCTAGCCAGCAAGCCCCAGAACAGAAGGGGACAATTCAGGTCTCGGGCAATTCTCCAAAAGTAATCGAGAAGACCGTTTACCGTAAGCAGTAAACATTGTTCTCAAACAATAAAGGTGACGGCCAAATTTGCTTCTCGCATTAACCGCCGCCTGGGTAATTTTAACATGGGGGAAGAAAAACGTGAGAAGTGAGCCGCGTCAAAGCCCATGTTTCCAGCTGGGACCTGGAGTCTCGACCACAGTAACAGCATCAGCGGCGCTCCCCCAGAAGGGCCTGGAACAGCACTGGACATGGGTCATGTTGGAGCAACGCGCGGGAGTGAACCGACGAAAAATAAAACAAAAGAAAAATAAAAAGTCGATACTCAGGAGGCTCGGCATCTTTGCAAAGGCAGACAGAACTATGGCCCATGTCCATCGTGATTGCCAGCCAGTCCTTGTCGCGCCAGACATTGGTGATTTGCAAAGTCACTTCCAGTCCTCCCTCCATTGGCAAGCAGATGCCGGGCGAGGTCCTTGTCGCCTCGTCCTCAAACTGGCCCAGCGTGCGTCCGTGTGGCTCTTCGGGAACGAGGGAGTGACGGCGGGCGTGACGCATTACCACCCACTCGAATCATGGAAAAATCCAGGCAGCTGACCACTAGGCAGCTGCAGAACTCATGCGTTTCTGACCACTTAGATAATTCGTTCGAGGCGAATTCTCACCCAATCATTCCCTGTGTCGCGTCGTCCGCCCACACATGCCCTCGTGTTGGATGTGCGCCCAGCGGCAGCAAAAGGCGGAGAGGAGGCGG